CCGTTAAGTGCTTGGGGGCACCCTAATCTAAAGCAGGCCTACTGCCTGAAGGCACTCAGCTTTACTTGTCACAGGGGCTGGGAGCCACAAAATTTTATGCTTCATTCTTTGAATCTTGGCTCTGCTACAGCTCCTCTACCATGCCCCTGCCGCTCCTCTGATGTCTCTTGGATCAAGGAAGTTCCCCTCACAGGGATCCATTCCTGGGTATTCTTCCATGATGGAAATGAGATAACCCACTTCCTGTTTCTGAGAAGGCTCATTGTAAACCCAGGAGGATGGCAAATGTGACCAGTCCTTGGGTTGCATTTCCAAGATTTTAGAATCAAATTGGCTCTGTTAATAACAATCACTCATGACTGAATCATATCATCCTGCCAGCATCTTCTCCAACCTTCTCTTCCCCAGACCCATCAGGGGAAATAATTGTTTAGTAAGAGTTACAAATACTATGAGCAGAAGGGACATATGAAGTAATTCACTGTACTGAACTTAGACTTGAAGGAGAAGAAAGTGAAGAGGGAGCAGGGGCATGGCTAGATTATAAACAAACCTACAGAATAAGGGGGAAGGCTTTAAGCACCTCAGCAAAAGCTCATGCCACTGGAATTCTGCAAAGACAGAAAAGACTCCCTCTCTCTCTCTCTTCCCACCTCCCACAGGTGTGACTCTGGAGGGCCTAGGTAGCCTGAGGGAAGCTGACCATGGGCATCAAACCCAGGGCTGAGTGCAGGACCGACAAAAGTAGAGAAGGACCACCACCCACCATTCCCATTATCCACCATCTATCTTTGATAAGGGCATCGCAAATGCCTCCCCCCTTCTACAAAGAGTTCTGCAAACCCAGCTCAGGGACATTGTGCTGGGTCCTTGCAAGGGCTGTTGTGCAGCCAGGGCTGTGGTGGGGGAAGCAGGGAACTTCCCATCAGTTGCTCCCTTGGCTGATGATTCCTGGGCTCCTGTCCAGGAGAAGAGTCAGACCAGCTCTCACACCTGGGAGAAAAGGCAGTGGATATGGACATAGGATGAGGGTCTGAAAGCAAGTCAGGGGGATAGCCCAGCATTCTGCCCTCAGTCCTATTGGGTGGCTCTGGACTCAAGGGCCAAGTTTGTTGGAGGGGTCACCCAGGCTAGAGGGGGTCTGCTTCCAGGGACATGTTGTAGAGAAGAGGATACAGATTGGCGCATGTTCTCAGCATATGTGGCTGAGAGAAGCGAGTTAGGCAGTGTTCGGGGTCCACAGAGAGCCTGGCTGGCAGCTCATCTAGACCAGCTCTAAGGATGAAGTTCAGGCCAGTGTACAAAACAGCAAACACATGTGCTGGGCTGTACAGGTGGACAGATCGAGGGATATGGTTGGAGTGGATCAGCAACGTGTGCTACCTGGCTCCAGGTGTATGGGTCTACCACCAGCCACCTGCTCACTCACCTGACAGGCCCAAAGAGCTGTGTCTTTGTCCTGGAGTACAGCCCATGGGCCAAGCCCCTCAGCTGTTCCTGCATCCAGTGCAGATCTGCCAGTGCATCAGGAAACCACTCCACCACTCTAGAGGACAGGGCACGTCAGTTCCTCCCCACAGTCCCAGCGAGACCCTTTCCCAGGGGCATGGGTAGAGCCAGAGGGGCTGCAGCTCAGAGGAAGTGGTGAGTGTGGGCTTATTCACGCCAGTCTAAGCCACAAAGGCCTCTTGTAATGTAAGAGGAAGCTGAAGCTCAGAGTGGTCAAGAAGCCTGACAGCACCTGAGCTGCACCAGCTCCTGGACTTATCCTCAAAGGAAGGGCACTGTCTCAGGTGCTGGGGATGGAACAATAGGCCATTTATCACACAGACTGTGGGGACAAGCCAGGTTGCTGCCCAGGAACCTCAGCTTCCAATCCAGTAGACTCCCTGCTCCCATTCAGCCCTCTCTGCAGAGGAGATTAGCAAGCTTTCAGAACCATAGCCAACTCCAGGCCAGGCAAAACAGCAGGCAAGCTCTATGCTCCTGGCTGTGCCCACCTGTGTGCCAGCTACCCTCGGGTCCTGGTTTCCCCTTGCCACAGCCCTGGCTGCACGCCAACCCTTGCAAGGACCCTGGGCCTCACCTCTTGGACTGGAAGTAGACATACTCCACAGGAAACGTGCAGGGCAGCAGCAGATATGTCAGCACCTGCCCGGAGCCCGACTGCCAGAAGTGCACCCAGAGGCCGGGCTTCCTCTTGCACGCCTTCCTCAGGGCTGCAAGAGAAGTGATGACATGGCCCTGTCCACTTGGCAGACCACCCACCCTGCAGCCCACCATGCTTAGAGTCACCCTGAAGGCAAGGGGGCAGAGCCCCTCCCAACCTGAACCCTCACCCCCAAGTCTGCAGAGGAGGAAATAACATAGATGAAGGCCCTACTACGAGCCACCAAGGTGCTGGGCATTGAACATGGCCCTCTCACCATTGCCCATGACATACAGTGTGCCCTTTCCACAGATGAGGAGACTGAGGTTCAGTGTGGAGAAGTGACTTGCTCAAGGGTCACCTCCAGGAAGTGGCAGGGCCAGCATGGTCTCACAGCTGGTAGGATGCCATCTCTCCTGCCCCTGGGAAGTTGGTTGGGTCCCCAGGATGGGACAGGCCCCCACCACACCTCCCTCAACACAGCAACACAGTTATTGACAACAGCAGTACAGCTGTAACCACAGTGACCATTTCCTGAGTCAGAGAGGAAGGACCAGCCTGAGAGCCCATGGAGCACTGGAATGGCCATATCCTAGTCTCCCACCACAACTCACACCCGACTCATCCCTGACTGGTGCCACCTACAGACAACACTTTCGAGGGTCACAGAGAACACAATCCCCCTGCAGTGAGCCCCAGTATAAGTCCTCTCCTTTCCCTGAGCCCAGATTACTGCTCTGTACAATGGGGGTACCAGCAATATCTGCTTCCCAGACAGGTATGAAGATGCTGTGAGTCTGTTACGGTGAGGGCCAAGTACAAACCTTTTACCATAGAGAGGTGTGACTGACAATAAACCTAACCCTAATCCCTAACCATACATTTAAACCTAACCCTAACATTAAACTTAATCCTAATCCCTAACCCTAAACCTAACCCTAACTTTAAATGTAATCCTTATCCCTTATCCTAAACCTAACCATAACCTTAAACTAATCCTAATCCCTAACCCTAAACTTTACCTTAATCTCTAACTTTAATCCTAAACCTACATGACCCTAGCATTAACACTAAATTGAAACCACATCTAACTCTAATGCTAAACCTCACCAATTGTAAACCGAATTCCAACCCTACCCCTAACCAGTCACCCTAAACTGAGCCCCCAACCCTAACTCTAACCCTTAACTCTAAAGCTAATACCTAACATAACCGTAAAAATAAGCTTACCTGAACACCAACACTAATACAAACCCAACCTAAGCTTAACCCTAACCCTAAACCCCAATTCCAAACCCAACACGAATCCTAAATCTGACCCCACCCTCAATCTACTCTCTGCCCTTCACCCCCTCTCCTTGCACCTCAGCCCAGTGAACTAGACTACAGCTCAGAGCAACAGTCAGCTCCGAAAAGGGGCCAGTCACTCTCTACCCCATCACACCTCTGGGGATTCCCACCTCTCATCTCAGGTAGCTTCCAGACCACCTGTCCAGGAGCTCTTGGTGGAGCAGTGGGATAAGCACTAGATTGCTAATCACAAGGTCTAAGGTTCAAACCCATGAGCTACTCTGGGGAAAAATGAGGCTATTTGGTCCTGTAAAGGTTCACACCCACAGCAGTGTGACTCTGTCTTATGGAGTTGCTTAAGAGTTTGTACTCATCCAGACCCCATGCTAATTCGGGGCAGGGTTCGATCTCCTGTCTGTCGGTAAGGGCAACAGGTAGTTGAGCAAGGTAGGTAGGTAAGGGCAGTACCAGCCTCCAGTGCTGGCGAGAGTTGCTCAAAGTTGGGCACGTCCTTGACCAACACATTCGGCACCGCCCAGTTGAGAGTCAGGCCCGCCTTCCCTTCCTGGTTGCAGCCAGAGTCCTGAGCTCCTTCAGCAGGGGATGGAGGTGCCTTAAATGCCAAACTCCACAGTATCTGCTCCTTGGTGAGTCCTGGGTCAGGGAGAGGAGAGAAGGGAAGTGAGGTGACAGGTCCCATGCCAAACTCATGACCTGTACCATCCACCCCATGCTCTGGTGATCTTCCTGTCTCAGAATGGACTCATGGTTCATCCCAAAGGAGCCCTCCTCTGCTCTCCCTGCCAGTTTCCTGGTGAATTTCACATAGATAATCAAAGCCAAGGGCCTAAGGACACAGGCCAGGGTTCAAACCCTACCTCTACTTCCAGCAAGCCTCAGTTTCCCTCTCTGTTAAGGGGGAAATGTGAGACCTGCTTTGTGCAGTTGTTCTGGGGGTGATGTGAGATCTCTGTGTAAAGCTCTAGCCAGGCTGGGTGCTGTGGCTGCTGGAGGATGACACCTAGGGGTTGGGGACATAAGGACAGGTGCTGAGTTCAAATCACAGCTCTGCCACTCTGAAGATCATTGCCCTATGGAGTGACAGCCAAGTTTTCCTGCCAGGTCTCTCTGGTCCACCTGTTGGCCTGTGAACTCTCTTACCACACACATGCATACACACTACTTACATATATACCACATACGTGTACAACACATAACATACACGCTACATATACACACTAGATATACTCCATGTATAGCACACAACATGTACATGTAGACACACTCACATATAAACATACACCCATGCATACTTACAGACATGTTGTTGTTGTTGTTGTTGTTGTCAGGTGCCATCGAGTTGGAACCAACTCATAGCGATCCCATGCACAGCAGAACGAAACAATGTTCGATTCTGGGCCAACCTCACT